GACTATTTTTATTTATCACTTTTTAATACTTTTTAAAACCCCGCGGACACCCTGTCAGTCCGTCCGGCCCATCCACGCACACACAGTAACGGATCTCTCTGTGCTTGCTTCACTGTTGCTCACGTTTCTTCAGTGCTCCCTAGGTTTTCTTCAGATCGTCTCTTTTTTGGTTGAATATTTAAAGTTACTTTTTTCGTAATGTACGTGGTGCATTTAAGACAGAGCTGAAAACGGCTCGTGCTGCGTCAGTCACTGCCTCCGCTCCGGTCGGGGTTTTTGTTTTTTATTATTTTAACTCTCTCTCCCTCTCTCTCTGTCACACCCTGTCTGGTCTCCCCATTCTGTTCAGTCATGTGTCTCTGTTAATTGCTCCCACCTGCCTCTCGTTTTCCAATCACCCAAGCTCCCAGCCCTCATGTATTTAAACCCCTTCAGTTCTGTGTCTCTCGTCAGTTCATTGTTTCCATGTCCTGCATGCGTTTGTCATTAAAACCTTTTACGTTATCCATTTTGTCTGCCTGCCTGCTTCTTCACCTGCGTGTGGATCCTCATCTCCGCTTCACTCACCAGCATGCCTGACACTCTCTCACACACACACCTCAGTCAACATTGTTTTGCTTAACTGTGTGTGGGAAAAATGCCAATGTTAGGAAAAAATCAGTCAAAAGATGTTTTTCCAGATGCCAAGAAAAATTAAATGCCAAATCCCCCCTGCAATGTGTGTCACAGAGAGTTTTAAACAAAAATTATTTTTGTGCAAATATTGGTGTATTCACCTTTAATACTAGTTATTCAAATGCAGCAGTTGCTGGATTGGTGCAGTTCAGAGTGGAGTGCATCAAATAAAACAATATTAACATAAAGGTGGAATGTGTCATATTCCCCCCCCCCCCCCCCCCACCACCACCACCACCACAGCTGGAAAAATTCCTAGGGGAAACGCTGTTTTGTTTTCAAATGTTATGTCAAATTTTCTCATTGTTTATCAGTAATTTTCACTATTTGAGCATCTTTATATTTTTCTATATTAAACGGTTGCAAATGTTAAATGTAAAGTAAAATTTTTGATTTTCTCATTGTACTGTCAAATGTACGGTAAAATACCGGCAGCTGTGGTTGCCAGGAATTTACTGCAAAAGGTATTAAGTAAAAATAAAATGCTGTAATTTCTTATACAGTTTCACTGTTTTTTATTGTCAAAGGTTTTAATAAGGTTTATCATATTTTTACAGTTATTTGCCATAATAAGGTTTATCCTATTACTGTTAAATTAAAAACAAATCAATGTAAATATTAATATAATATAACTTTTTTTTACTGTAAAAATCCATAAAAAGCTATGAGAAGTTGCATTTTTTACATGAAATTACTGTTTAATTGACAAATATATTAGTTTATTTTTCCTACCATGATTTTGGTAAAAAAAAACATTGTCTACTGTAAAATTTAGGATTACAAAAGCAGTATACTGTATTTTTGTTTACAGATTACACATTTTTTTCACGCTATATTCCTGGCAACCACAGCTGCCGGTATATTACCGTAAAGTTGACAGTTTTTTTTTACAGTGAACCTCTTAGTCAGTTATAGCCTCTTTTTGATGTATTTAAGTCTATGAGTCAACAAATTGCAAATTTTCTGCAGAAATGTGAACTATGATCACCTGTCATGCCTGTTTATTTTAGATAAATACATACCTTTAAATGATACATGTGGAGAGTCTGGATCTATACTCTCTACTAATGCCAAAAGGTAACTGGTGAGCATGTTTGTGCAGATGCTCATTAAGCTAAATGTTTCATGAAATCTTTGATGGCTTCTAATGAGTGGTCGTGTTCCTGCTGATAAAACATGAGCCCAGTTGATTAAAAGTAGACAATTATCCTTTTCTCTGAGCTAAATAATTTCTGAGAGCAAAATACCTGCTAAGTGCAACAGTTAGAAATGTCTCCTCTTGTATATTTTTTTACTTCTTTAGTAAACAACTAGTTATGGTAGAACGTTAAGTACACATTGAGCATTTCACTTTAGTAGATGTACTTGACAAGGCTTGACTTTACAGTTTTAGAGTGGGTTGTATTGAACTAATGTTAAGTGTCTGATTATTTCGCCACTTCAATTCTTCTACCCGAGTTAAAAGACAGATCTACGTCACACTGTCACTTAGCAAAAATGGACTCACCCATCTTGGCTCATGACGGGGAAGGCTGTTGTTGGTTTAGCGTCCAGGAAACAGAAGAACGTTTTAGCTAGTAGAAGCTAACCGTTCTAACCGTTAGCGTTAGCAACTCCATCACACAGCAGAACTCCTTCAGGCTTGTGTTACTTGTGGAGATAAAACATAACGTCGCAAGCAAAACAGAGTCAGTGGTAGAGTTGTGTTGCTGTTAGCCAATCTGAGGTGAGATGTCCAAATATCAGGAAATAAGACTCCAAAACCTGCAGTGTTAAGCTCTCCTCTGATGGCATTTTGCTAGGTCCTGAAACAAGTGCATCTGAGCTTTTTATCCCTCTGAGTATGACTTACAAGGCACCACTGCAAATGTTGTGATTAAACAAGTGTCCCACACCTTTAACTAGTTTAATTTATTAACAATGGTTTAAGTCCAGCAGAACAGAAGAAAAGCAGAAAATGAACTTGCAGGTTTCATCATGTTTTAGTAGGCATGCAATGTGTGGCATTAGGGTTCGTAGTGATTAGACTTGTTTAAATTCATAGTTTCTTTTTTCTGTCATATCTGCCAGACTTCAGCTTGATGCCACCCTGCAATAATAACACTAATAATTTTGTTTTGTTTACAGCAGAAAAAATAATCACAAGAACGGGAACAGGGATGACAACAGTAACCAAAACTCCAACAAAGAGAAAAAAATCGAAATACGCCACAGATATTAACAAATGAGCTCTGATGTCACCAAATTAAAGCCCGACAGGAAGCAAAGAAGCAAAGAAATAGAATTTCTACAAAATAAAACAGGACACCCATAACTGGGATTCAGAACCAAACAGAACAGAACCAGAGCAGGAGAAACAAACACATGATTACCACCACCACAAACAATTATAGTGAGGAAGCTCGGAGATCCAAGCAGGAAATGGCTTCAGAAATAAACCAACGAACTCCAAACCAGAACATGGAAAACCTAAAGACTGTGACAAATGAGCTGATTCAGGATAACTGCCTTCTAGAAGAATATAAAGTGACTTCACTAGAATATAACAACTTATAAATTATACCAGCTGTTTCTGATATAACATACCTCTCATATTTTTAAACAGAACAACTTGCACAATCTGCGTCAACAAAATACTTTTTTCCTCCGCTGTATGTGAATGGGAGTAGGAACAGGAAAATCTTTGTTTTAAAAAACATTCTCGGTAGTTGGACGGGACCTTAAGTTGGGTAGGAAATATCTTCCACAACACTTAAACAAATTCAGTTGTCCTAATTCTGTCCCGCTCTGAACTTGAGACTGTTATCCACACCTTCATCTCCTCACGCTTAGACTACTGTAACTCTCTTTTCACGTGTCTGAGCAGAACCTCCCTGAACCGTCTACAGGTGGTTCAGAATGCCTGTGCTCGGCTTCTGACCAAGTCCTCCAAACACACCCACATCACCCCGCTTCTCCTCCAGCTTCACTGGCTGCCAGTCAACTTCAGGGTTCATTTCAAGCTCTTGGTTCTGGTCTATAGGGCCCTACATGGACAAGCACCATCTTACATTGGTGATCTTCTCAGTCCCTACACCCCCAGCAGGTCCCTGAGGTCCAGTGACCAAAGCCTACTGGTTGTGCAGCGCACCAGGCTAAAGACCAGATCATTTGCCACTACGGCCCCCAGACTCTGGAGCTCTCTCCCCCTGAGCCTGGGATCGATGCATGGACTCTGAGGTCTCCTTTAAAAAGCAGCTGAAAACTCACTTGTTCAGGCTGAATTTACTCTCTCCTCTCTTTTTGCCAACCTCACCTCTCCCAGGATCCACCGATTTCCTTCTTCCCTTCATTTTCTCCCTCCCTTTCCTTACATTTTGTTTCTTCTAATTTCATTTTTTAAAGAATTTTTTTATTTAACATTTTTTTGCTCTTGGGAAGCACCTCGTGATTTTTTATCTTCAGAGACGCTATATAAAAGATCCTTTTCTTTCTTTTTTCTTTCTAATTGTTAAACCTCTAAAAAGGTGAACTAGTTTAGCATCAAACCGCCATGAACACATTCCAGCTCAGTGGTGCTGTTGGTGACACGAAAGCATATGCAGGATTGGAGAGAGTCTGTGGTAGATTTTCACCAGTCATTCATCAGATTTCATAGAAACAGACTGAACTGTGACAGGACCAAATCTTTTGGCTGGCAGTAAAACCAGAACACAGAGGGAGCGACAGAGCTGACAGCTTGTATTTTCACTGAGTCATTCCTGATTATCTTCCTGCTCACTTTCAGAATATTTAACATCGCTTCCCTACAAACACAAATACTGGCACCAGGGAGATTCTGAGGGAGAGAAATGGGACCAGAAGCTGTGACAGGTGGACTGTGGCTCAGTGACCCAAATTCAGGGTGCTGGAGCAAGTAGAAAATGGCAAAATATACTTTTGTGTTTCTGAAGCAGGAAGATTGAAAAATTAATCATGATGTCAGAGTGAAGTTAACACAAATAAACCAGGAAGGACTAACAGCAGAATCTGACCAAAACCTGACATGGAGCAACAGAAAACCAGGGAGTATATGTACTGGGATGGACCCAGGCCAAGTTGGGGAAGCAAAGAAAAAATAAATAAATAAAAGCGATAGAACAAAAGGGTGGGTGAAATCTGACCTTAAATCTTACTCCAAGTGTCCTGCTTTTGAAACATTCACCAAAATTTAAAATTTGGAGTTTTCGGAGAAATGCAGGGCAGCAGAAGGATCAGTAAAACAGGACAACACTGATTTGTACCCATTCTCATTTAACCTTGAAGGGTGTGTGTGTGTGCGTGTGTGTGTGTGTGTGTGTACTCACAGCCAGAAGGCGGTTCTTATCCTTCTCAGCGTTGGTCAGAGCGTTCTCCAGACTAGCTCTGTGCTTCTTGGTGACCTCCTCCAGAGATCGAGCCTGGCTCTCCTTCAGCTGGCTGGCCTCCTCCTCGTAGCAGGATCGGACATTGTCCACATCCTTCTCGTGGGACACCTTCTCTTCGCGGAGGGTCTGATGCAAACAGGAAGCACAAACACACAAAGGTGAGCTCCGTGACATAGGCACACACCCTCATCATATGCTGCAACGTTCAGCCATATTGCTTTTGTTTTCCTGGTGTCAGCCCAGACATTAATCACGCATTCTGTCTGTTTCTATCAGACATTTTGTCCCACTGGATTTAGTTCTGTTATAGATGTGTAAAATCAGAGCTGCAGAGGAAGGAGCTGAGTTTATTGATTCTGGATATCAAATATTCTGTCTGCAACCTCATCATACCACACCCCTAGAGCAGACTGGTGTCAGCGATCACTTGAAACAGCTTCATTTCACACAGAATATAATAAACACCCTCAGCCTGTTTTATAGCCGACACGTTTAAAATGACAATCTATGATCAGATCAGCCAGTAAGACATCTTTAAAAGACTCTAAAATATAAATTTTAGCAAAATAAAACTTAATATTGTTTCTCATCAATTATGTCCTCTGCATTAACATCATTCTTGCCACAAAAAGTGACAAATTGTCAATAATAGTGTAATCGTTACCAATAGGTACAAACTCTGGTGTTACAGCATCACATCTGGAGTGTTTTTCATTAATGTGAAGTAAATCTAAAGCAAAGTTTTCACATTTTGCCTAAAAGTAAGAAATGTAAAAATAATCATGTTGGGGGATGCCCTGATACTACACTGTGGTACTCTGGAACCACAGAACCAATACCATTTCAGGTAGTCTGAAGCTCAGCTCAGAGTTAAGCTGCACCAGGAGACATTAGTAGCAAACTCTGGTGAAGATGAAGTAAGTTTAAGTACTTGTGTAGTACAACCTGCATTTATTCCATAGAAATCCTGGTAAAGTCCTTTAGATTAGTCTATTAGTCACGGCTGATTGATGCTCCTGAAGCAGTAGGATATTTTATTTAGCATTGTTTTGCTAACCGCTGATAGCAGAGAATCCGGAGAGCAGACTAAAGCATGAACAGCTGCTTCAGAATAAAGATCCAAAGTTTTGCTTCCAATCAGCTGAAAAACTGTTCACCCACAGAAGAGCTGCAGGTATGGAAAGCTGTTATATAATCAAATGCACATATTAAACAGCATATCATTTGTGTAGTTATTGGTTATTTTAAGTTATATGCTCAAGTTATGCTATGTTATTTGGTTCTTTATTTTTATTAGCACTCATATCAGCAAGTACTCTAGTATAAAAACGCAGTATAGGTGCATTCGTAATCACATTAAACGGCTGTGAAGTGTTATAAGGTGTTAATAAAGGGCTAAATACAGGTGGATGTCATCCATAAGGGCTAAATGTGCAAACCAATAACTTTATGAATAACTCAAACCAGGGTGTTTAGTGATAAACAGAAGAGAAATGTTGTCGTAAAGGTGGATGACAGCATAAAGATGTTTTTCAGAGACTGAATGAACTGCTGCTGATTTAAGTTGTTGCTAAGCACCATCTCTGTCTAGCTGAAACAAACCGACAGGAAAAACCAAATGACCTCTTTTACCCAGCAACAGTGCACTGAGTTAGTTTCTAAAACATTTTAATAAAACAAAGCTAGGAAAAAGCGACTTTCTAGAAAAACAAAAGCAAAAGAAGTCTAATCTGAATGCCTAACAGCTTGGACTTAATCAGGGGAGCAGCTGCTTCTTTGCTGCATGGTTATTATCTAAATTATAATTGGATAAATCATGGCCAAAACAGCCACACAGGAAACACGGTGTCCATCAGTTCAGCAGACACAAGGGACAGAAGAGCTGTCGCTAAAAAAACCGATTTCAGCTGTAGTTCTCAGTCACAATGGCATCAGTGAAGCAAGCAGAGAACGGGAGGTATTAAAATCTGCTGTTTTACTTAAAACATCTTAAAAGTGTGGAACACTAGTTTGATCAATACATTTTCAGTGGTCTCTAGTAGAAATGAATGCCTAGTAAGTTGTACTCAGGGGAAAAAAACTCCAGTGCACCAGTTTCAGGAACATGGAGACAGTGAGATCAGAGGAGGGCTTCAGACGACAGGAGTTGGACTCATTTCCTGATATTCTGGACATCTCGCCTCTGACTGGATAACATCAAAGCGATTCTACCACTGACTCGGCTTTGCAACGTTGATGTTTTATCTCCATGAATATCACAAGCCTAGAGGAGTTCTGCTGTGAACAGTTGCTAATGCTAATGCTTCTACTAGCCGAGGAGGCCTCTGCTGTTTTATGAATGCAAAACCAACAGCCTTCCCCGTCGTGAGTCAAGATGGGTTAGTCCATGAATGTTCAGTGACAGTGTGACGTAGATCTATTAGGCTTTTCTAATCCTAGAGTTTCAGCCTCTGTTTTCGATCAGAAGCTAATGCAGGAGATAGGTGTAGGAGACTATTTTCATGTTCAGCCTGCATGAAAAACTCAGTGATGATTATAATCACAATTAATCATTAAAAAAGTATTTTCAGTGTTCCACACCTTAACTCGTTCACTGCCAGTGACGACTAAAGTCGTCATTTGCATTTTTTTTTTTACTGTTTGGGCATCGGAACGAGCCCCCGCATCATGAGAACAAACATCTCAGCTCTGAAGCTGATCTTCCTTCGCATATGTCACACGTCACATGATCAGGAAGTAGAACTTCCATGTGTTAGGAGATTGTTTTGGGCCGTTCCTGTAAAAAAAAAAAAAATAGTGAGGCGCGAACCGGAAAAGCGTCTGCCGATCACAATTCAACAACGGATTATGAAAGAACGGATAACGCTCAAAACGTGCGTATTCTTCCTGTTGTAAGAGGTGAGTCTCCGCTTTGTTTTGGTTGTTTTGGCGTCGATATCATCCTAGCACGCAACGTTCTGTGACTTTTAAACAGTAGAAGAAGAAGAAGAAAATATCATTTCTATAGCGCCTCTCAAGATAAAAATCACGAGGCGCTTCACAAAAACAAAAAATTTAAAAATACAAACAAGCATTTAGAAAATGTTTAAAAATATATTTAAAATCAGCAAAAATAGACAATTGTGATAAAAACTATGTTAAGAAAGAGAAAGAGAGTGAATAGGAAAGAGGGAAATCAGTGGATCCTGAGGAAGGTGGAATAGGTGGGGAGAGCAGAATAAAGAGAGAGTGGTGAAGAAGGTCATACAAAAGCCAGCTTGAACAAGTGAGTCTTCAGCTGCTTTTTAAAGGAGACCACTGAGTCCACTGATCTCAGGCTCAGGGGGAGAGAGTTCCAGAGTCTGGGGGCCACAGCAGCAAATGATCTGTCACCTTTGACCTTTAGCCTGGTGCTGCACAACCAGTAGGCTTTGATCACTGGACCTCAGGGACCTGCTGGGGATGTAGGGACTAAGAAGATCACCAATGTAAGATGGTGCTTGTCCATGTAAGGCCCTATAGACCAGAACCAGGATCTTGAAATGAACCCTGAAGTTGACTGGCAGCCAGTGAAGCTGGAGGAGAAGCGGGGTGATGTGAGTGTGTTTGGAGGACTTGGTCAGAAGCCGAGCACAGGCATTCTGAACCACCTGTAGATGGTTCAGGGAGGTTCTGCTCAGACAAGTGAAAAGAGAGTTACAGTAGTCTAAGCGTGAGGAGATGAAGGTGTGGAGAACTGTCTCAAGTTCAGAGCGAGACAGAATGGGACTCAGCTTAGCAATGTTCCTGAGATGGAAGAAGGAAGAGCGAACAAGAGAACTGACATGAGAACCCAGGGTGAGAGCCGGGTCAAAGGTCACATCAAGATTCCTGACGGAAGGTTTGGTGTGAGAAGCAAGCTGACCAAGATAGTCTCTGACTTTGGGAACCAGCTTGTCTGGGGCACAGATGAGGATCTCAGTCTTATCTTCATTCAGCTGTAGAAAGCTCCCAGCCATCCAGGTTTTGATAGAGTCTAAGCAGGTGTGTAACAGCTGCAGCTTAGACATCTCATGGGGCTTAAAGGAGATGTACAGTTGGTTGTCATCTGCATAAAGATGGTAGGAGATTACTTTGAAGGAGCTCAGGATGTGCTGAAGAGGAAGCAGATAGAGGAGGAAGAGCAGAGGCCCCAGCACAGAACCTTGTGGGACACCATGGGTAAGAGAGGTGGTGGAGGACCTAAACTTGGAGACGGCCACCGAAAAGGAACGCTCAGAAAGATAAGAGGAGAACCACTCCAGAGCAGATCCTGATAGGCCTACCCAGTCTCTGAGCCTCTCCAGTAGCAGGTGATGGTCAACAGTGTCAAAGGCTGCAGTCAGGTCCAGCAGGACCAGAACAGAACAGTCCCCTGCATCACTGTGGGTAAAATTGGTAAGAAACGCTGGCAGCGAAGGCCTTTACTGATCAGCAAACGGCTGGCAGTGAATGAGTTAAAATGCCTAATACCATTTCATATTGACTGCATTAGATAGATCACATTTAAATGTCACTTGGCTGGTGTAACCATCTTGAATTCAGTTGATCTGAAATGTTAATTAGTTGTAGAAGAACATCAGTCGATTCATTTATCATTTGGTGGCGGTCTATAACAAGTAAATAAATGGTATCACTAATGAAGTAACATTTACTGTCAAGCCTGGTCCTAGTGAGCAGGACTGCTGAGTTACTATATGGTAACAAGGACGTGGAGGAAAACGTTCCACAGTTTGACGTGAACATCAGAAAGTGAACATCTTGGGAGGTTAATTGGTTCTATTGCAGACAGGAGGAAAGCAGATGACTCAGAATCAAAGATCAAACAAAAATAAAGCCTCCAGTGGAGGAAATGACTTTCCTGTAATGTTGCAGATTTAAAACTGGGACAACAAAGAACCTAAACAGAGACGTGAGTGAGTCTGCTCACATTAATTCTGAAAGCTCCACAGATGAGAAGTATAAAAAATCAAGTAAGTTGGTTAGAACCAACAGAAGGTGGGATTCAACATTATCCCAAGGAAAGCATTGAAATTCAGAGCATTCTGGGTCTGTGGGAGAGCTCTCCCAGAGGATTACGCTGCACAAATGTCAGAGATAAAAGGATGGGAAAACACACATGAAGCAGCAACACTTGACATTTACGGCCTGCTGCGGTTGGTCTGCTGACTAAACTCTTCCACAAATCACCCGACCTTTCAGCTGTCTGCTTTAAAAAAGAAGCAGCTTGTTTATTTTTTGTTTGCTGAACGTGATGGACGGGCTTCCACAGAGCTCACAGAAAATTCCAACTTTTTAAATAATGTAAATTTTGTTTGGTTTTCTAGTTTGTAGAAACCTGAAAAAGCTTTTCTGTAACAAACCAAATAACTCAAAGAAAAGCTCATAAAAGACATCAGAAACACAAAGTATATGTATATCATGTTTTCATTAAAACAAGTCTAGATTTAGATAACTGATTCAAACCAAAGACTCATTCTGAGCTAAACACCAACGTCAAAGGGAAATTACTGTCCTGGGGAAATCACACGATTGTGAAATAAAACAAATAATCCTGCATCAGTTTATTGAGGCAATTTAAATCATTATCAGTACTATTTACATTATTATTTTCATCTAAATACAATCTAGTTCTAGCCATTTTTTAAATTAAAATTCAAATATTAATATATTTTAATGTGATTTTTTATACTGAAATTCAGTTTTTTAGTACTTATAAAGTGAAGGTTCTTTAACTTTGCAAAAGTCATATTCAACAATTTTCAAGGTGAGTTTTCAAGACTTTACCGCTCCTCTTACTGGTGATGATCTACACAGAAACAAAATCATTGCTCCAGTTCCTTTATGAATAAACATAAATGGTGCTGATTCAATGTTAGTTTCAGTGTGAAAAACAAATGCAATGACTTCTGATATGAGGGAGGATACCGATGTCAGATTTTTCTACAGCTCTGACCTGCTATGATTTTGGCATATTCATATTTATCTTAAAGCATTATAAAAATTACCTGAATACTTCTATTTTTTTCTATTTCTGATTAACTGGAAGTTTGTAAAAAGGAGCACTTAGGTTCACAAACTGAAAAAAAGTGAGATTTGTATTGCTGCTTGGCAATGATGCATCTTGTGACAAACAGCATCATTGGCCAAATTTGATCACAGTGCATTTCTAATTTCACCATTTCACTACTTTATTAAACCTCAAGCTTCTGTAAATTACTAGTTAGTATAAAATCCAACCAACGATGGATAAAATAAAGAACAAAGAATAAAAAAGCCGGTTCTTTTCTGCTGATCTTTTATGTATCTGGTTTCTGTAAAATTGAGTGACAAAAAGAGTCAAATGTCTGACAGTGACGTTAAAACAAATCTTTTAAACTCGAGTAGTGTCAGTCTTCACCCTCGTGATTTAAACTGACACATTGATATGAAAAGACCCATGCGGTCTGTGAGAGATCATTCTCTCACAGGTCTGCAGCAGAGCCCACAGAGAAGTTCTCTCAGAGCATTTTGATGACTTATTGATTATTTATAACAGCTACTTCCAGCTTTGCATGCATATTAAACACACAAACACACACCTTCTCAAGGCATTGGATCTGCTGTTTGTGCCTCTCATCCAGGGCTTGGCTCTGGTTCTGCAGGGCCTCCCTCTCCTCCTCCATCCTCAGCACCTTATCCTTCAGTCGGCTCCGCTCGTTGTCCAGGTCCCTGATGGCTGCTTCTTGGGTCATCTGAGTGGCCTGCAGGCTGCTGATCTGACCTGTGGCAGGAGAAGAAGCAAATATTTAATCAGCAATCAGCATCAGCATATTATCCACATTAACTGATTTCCTCAATGTGACTGATGTCGTCAAATTACAGTTTGTAACTTTCTAAGTCTGAGTTTTTATAAAACGATCAGCAACAAACAGCCACCAAAAGGAACCTTGTAGCCAAAGTTATCTTAGAAAGTATGTTTCCTTTTTCAAAAATAGTTTCTCCATAGGTTATTGACACAAATGGCCATTCAATTCAACAATTTACTCTTGCCATTAAACAAATTTTCCTTCTGAAAGATCTAAAATATCCCAAACAATTGTATTTGCAAGATTAAAGCCTGAATTATAACAACAATCTCCACTAATACTTTCAAAAAGCTGACACAGCAGCGTTCCTCTCAATAGGATGCAGAAACGGGAAGTGAGGAAGTGTTCCCACTGAATAAGAGGATCATAAAGCAAATGAGCTGAGTTTGATTCTGGATTAAATGAAACAGACACTAATGTTTATGCAATGTGCTATAAAATATTACTAGTATTGCAGATGAACACACTGGACCATCTTGATGTGAAAAAGTTTTTTTTTTTGCCTTTCGGGGGAACAAGAAAAGCCATCAGATGTGATTTGCAGCAATAACATTGAAACGGTGTCGCCGATGAGACAAGAGGAGCTGGTAGTGGATGTGTTTGATGTGCGTCTAAAAGCAGAGAAACAGATCAGGTTCTTACTGGCTTTGAGGAGTATTTCCGTCGCCTGCTGCTGAACTCTGTCTCTGGCTGCTTCCAGTTCACACTCGGCCTCCTTCTGACGGATCTCTATGATCTCGGAGTTCTGGGTCACCTCATCCAGCTGCTTGGTTAAATCCTGGAGATGAGTTCAAAACAAAAGAACTGCTCAGAGCGGGCCCGGATGTAGGCATGGGCAAGGAGGGGCAATGCCCCCCCTAAAAATAGTAACTGCCCCCCCCCAAATGTGATGACATGTAGAAATCCCAAATTTGAAAATTTGATGAAAAAGGGTCAGAATGCCTTTCTCTCTCTCTCTTTCAAAGTAGCTGCTGATTGGTAGATGCAGAGGGAGGTGTGGCCAGACACTTCGTTCTCTGTTGTGTCAGTCGCTTCACACGCTCCCAGTCAGCAGCAGAACACAGACACGCACCGTTGTTATCTGAGCTCAGCCACTGGTTGACGTTTTCTTCTGCTGTCAGTCACTGGAATTATTTGGTTAGTCTTTCTCAAGGTTTTAGTTTGCCTCATTCTCTTCTTTCATTTGTTTTTGAAGTGAATCGAGTCGACATGCGCAGGTTTCTGGTTTCTAAACCTAGCAACAGTGCTAAGGCACTAGCGGCAGAAGCCGGCTCATCAGGTGCTGCTTCTCAAATCGAAAAAAACTGATACTATGTAAAAATAATTGGAGAAGTAGTTCAGTTCCTAGCAGTAAATGAACTGTGGAAAGCTCCAGTGGTGATGATTTCTCTGCAGGACTGTTCTTAAAAATGGTTGACTACACACTGGCCAAAGACTCCAAAATTAACGAAATAAACAAACATCCCAGAAAATGCAAAATACACATCTCACAACATACAAAACAAAATGATTGAAACACTGGCAAAAATGGTATTAAAAAAGATCAAAGAGAACTGTGACAAAGCAGATTATACTGGGTTTTGCATTAAAAGTAATGGAACTAGGGACAGATGCAATGTGGAGTGTTACGTCCCCGACATGTGTTGTTAAAATGTGAAGGAGGGGACAACATAAGAAATGTGACAGTGGATTTAAAATGGGTTTAATTGCCATAAAAGGTTTTAAAAACAAGTGAGTAGAAAGATGGAGAGCATTAATAAAATAATGCCTAACACAAATCAAGACTAAAAGTTTAACATTTAAAGGACCACTTATCAACATTAAAACACCAGGCTAAAAGTTTTATTGAAACAGAAGGTGTTTTAAAAAACACAAGTTGATAATAAAAACCAACGCACTAGGAACACACTGAGTGTTTTAAAATCCCAAAGTCAGTAAACTATGATGTAAACCTTAAAATCAATACATAAACCAAAATGATCACATGGATCTTCTAAAACACTCAAAAGGGGTTTAAAACAACGCGTAAGGCCTGGAGAACAGCATAACCCCTAGACTGATGCCTCCCAGACTGCTAAAGGCACAGCCTTTTTATCCCAGGCGTCCGATCAACCCAGGTTGGGTTGCCTGGGCGAGGGTGTCTGATGTTTGAAAAGACGCGAGACACACAGTGACCCCGGGTTCCATTACTAAAGATGTGTCCAGTGCATCCAGATGTACTTTACAAAAACTTGATTATGTTGATAAATATACACTTCCTCTTTATTAAAAAAAAACATATCAGTTTAATCATTTTTTTGTTTCTATATATAATTTTCCTGGATGTTGCCGCCATCGAAACAAACCTGTCAAACGTCCAAGATGAAGCATATTGATGGAACATTATTAATACGGAGGATCAGGAATTCAAATCCTGACTGCTGCTCAGTTAATAAGAACTAGACTTCAGGGAGGGACACACACACACACACACACACACACACACACACACACACACACACACACACACACACACACACACACACACACACACACACACACACAGAATGTGATTTAGCACCCTGTAAGAACTCATGAGAGGTGATTTCACATCTTTCAGTCTCACCAAACAGCTCGCCTCAGACCTAATTACCGCTGGGAAGGCTAAGACAATGAAGCCTCTGAATGATGATAACCACAGAGGAGTCACACCAGTTGCAATCTGCACATGCGCATGTGTGTGTGTGTGTGTGGGCTGACATCCTTTGTGACAATAGTTGCACCTTTTGACAGCTGAATTGGATACGATAAAAAAAGGAGCATCTATGTTTTCTTATTTTAATTTAGGTGGTAAAAAAAACTTGATGTGCTGCACAGAGGACATTTCTCAATACGTGTACTTTTCTGAACTGGTGTACTTTTGTCCTTGTGAAATGCCATCGATGTTGGACCAAGTACAGTTCCAGTTCTGTTTTTCTTCATTTAACAGCACACAAACCTTGCATTTTATCAATGTGGAAGAAAGATTGATAAAACAAACACTGCAACATTTAAAACGTGGATCAAATAATATAAAAATAAAATGTACACAGTAACTAGATTTTTACTTTTATTTCAGGTCTTTTTTAACCGTAGTGGAGAGCATCAATTGTTGCCCCGACATAAAAGAGTACAGTTCTGTTCCAAATGCCCTGCTCGTACTCCCATACTTGGTAGAACAGACTTTCTGTTGTACTTGGCAAGAACATACTTCTCAAGTACACACGAATGTACTTGGGTATTGAGAAATGGCCAAAGTGATGAGCGGTATCCTTTATTAGCACCACTTCCTGTTGAGGATCTCAGTAATTTAATTTCTTCAAAAGAGAAGTAAAAAGTAAAGCCCGTCTACTCACACAAACACAATCGTTAGGCTTTCTGAGCATCTAATAACCAATCCCAGCCAGAAATTAACATTTTGACTTGCCTATGTCAATGTAAATGTCCAAAAAAAGAAACAATATGAAGCTAAAGAGACATTTTATTGTGGACAGCAGTTTCAGTTTTTGAAGTAGACCAGGGCTTTAGATCACATGGTCACTGATGCATGTGTTGCTTTACTGTCTGTGCATGTTCGTTTGTGTCTCTGTGCAGATTAAAGCAACTTCGAGAGCCTTTTGGAAACATTTTGTAAAAACAGTAATGGCATTTTCATTAATGTTAAAGACTTTCAATGGATTGAAATGTGAAGAAGCTGTCCATGGTGCTGAAATTAGGATGTAATCAACTTCTCCTGGCACATGATTCATTTCAGCTCCCAGAATCTCATAGTTTCAGGTCCAAGCTACTAAATATGAATTATTAATGCAAACTCTCAGACTTTCACATTTTTGATTTATTTAGATGAAAGCTGATGTCTGCAGCTAATTTACTTAAATAAAATTCCTGCAGTGATTTCCACTGTTCTTTTCCAAACCTTTGTGCAAAAGGAAAAACACAAAGCTCTTAAATCTCAAAGTCCTTCCTATAATTCACTCTCTGTCATTGGATCCAAATAGGCCTGAAAATCAGCCTCTCTCCTTCCAGATTTCTGTGCTCGCTCTGGGGTTCTTAACGCCACACTCGTTTGAGCCTACTGAGGCAGTAAATCTTAAAAGATGGGGTCACAAAAAAGCTTCACCATTTACTAAAACACTCAACTGTTCTGAATGTAACCAAAGAAAGAGAATGTGGTGAGATGAAACACATTTAACATGCGACATCCGATCACCTGTAAAAGATGCTAACCTTTCACTCGACTAATGGTTTAATTTCCGAAAGTGAAGGATGTGTGCACAAAATCAAGGGAATGAGCGCTTTTTTATGCACTTAAGTATCTATTTTGTAAAGAAAACCCAAATACACCTTCAGAAATCTCAGTAGGACTTTACTCAGAAGTTCCCTGTTAGTTAGAAATAAAGGTTCTAATTTCCCCCAAGAAGTAATAAATCTGGGTTTACTTCAACTGACAGCAGAGAACAATCCTCAGATTATTTCAGTCTAATTTAGGTCAAAGCCACAGGGCTTTGGTGTTGGATTAGGGCCATTTTCAGCAGCACAATTAGAACCATGTATGTGTAGTTCCTGAAACAGAATATGTGTTTTTATTCTCAAGAGACCAATTCAACCATGAATGTTTGTTGCACTAAAATATAGAGAAACTTTGTTTAAAATGAATATTAATGCAAACTTCAAGTTTAAATTATGATAAGTGACTTAAAAACAGATTAAAGGCTGTTCCTCCACATGTAAAGTTTGTTTGTGTCTGGATTAAACTGACACAGCTTACCTGTTTTTAGCCCCAACTCTAACAAACGATGTAATGTACAGGTCCTTCTCAAAAAATTAGCATATTGTGATTAAGTTCATTATTTTCTGTAACGCACTGACAAACATTAGACTTTCATATATATTAGATTCATTATACACAACTGAAGTAGTTCAAGCCTTTTATTGTTTCTAATATTGATGATTTTGGCATACAGCTCATGAAAACCCAAAATTCCTATCTCAAAAAATTAGCATATCATGAAAAGATTTCTAAACGAGCTAATAATCAAATCATCTGAATCAACTAATTAACTCTAAACAACTGCAAAAGATTCCTGAGGCTTTTAAAAACTCCCAGCCTGGTTCATTACTCAAAACCACAATCATGGGTAAGACTGCCGACCTGACTGCTGTCCAGAAGGCCATCATTGACACCCTCAAGCAAGAGGGTAAGACACAGAAAGAAATTTCTGAATGAATAGGCCGTTCCCAGAGTGCTGTATCAAGGCACCTCAGTGGGAAGTCTGTGGGAAGGAAAAAGTGTGGCAGAAAATGTTGCACAATGAGAAGAGGTGAGCGGACCCTGAGGAAGATTGTGGAGAAGGACCGATTCCAGACCTTGGGGGACCTGCGAAAGCAGTGGACTGAGTCTGGAGTAGAAACATCCAGAGCCACCGTGTGCAGGCGTGTGCAGGAAATGGGCCACAGGTGCCGCATTCCCCAGGTCAAGCCACTTTTTAACAGGAAACAGTCCACTGTTGTGCATGGTCCACTGTGTTTTATCAAGGGCGGGGTCAATGCAGCTAGCTATCAGGAGATTTTGGATCACTTCATGCTTCCATCTGCTGAAAAGCTTTATGGAGATGAAGATTTCATTTTTCAGCACGACCTGGCACCTGCTCACAGAGCCAAAACCACTGGTAAATGGTTTACTGACCATGGTATTACTGTGCTCAACTGGCCTGCCAACTCTCCTGACCTGAACCCCGTAGAGAACCTGTGGGATATTGTGAAGAGAAAGTTGAGAGACGCAAGACCCAACACTCTGGATGAGCTTAAGGCCGCTATGGAAGCATCCTGGGCCTCCATAACACCTCAGCAGTACCACAGGTAGATTGCCTCCATGCCACGCTGCAGTGAAGCAGTCATTTCTGCAAAAGGATTCCCGACCAAGTATTGAGTGCACAACTGAACATAATTATTTGAAGGTTGACTTTTTTTGTATTAAAAACACTTTTCTTTTATTGGTTGGATGAAATATGCTAATTTTTTGAGATAGGAATTTTGGGTTTTCATGAGCTGTATGCCAAAATCATTAATGTTAGAAACAATAAAAGGCTTGTACTACTTCAGTTGTGTGTAATGAATCTAATATATATGAAAGTCTAATGTTTATCAGTACGTTACAGACAATAATGAACATTATCACAATATGCTAATTTTTTGAGAAGGACCTGTATGTCTAACAGTCCCTTAAGGACCTGGCTGAATTCTGCATTTCCATTTAAATTTAAAAACTTATGATGAATTGCTTTTATCTCACAGAAAAGCCTCCATCAGCCAAAGCAGATTGGCTTTTCTTGAGTGTGAAATATTTAGTCCAAAGACAGTGACAGGAGTAATTTAACACAGCCTCACTGGTGGATTTTACTCTGGGGAAAATTTGTAATTTTTGGCATGCACGTTTCTGTGGAAGCTTGTGAACACTCAGCCATTAATTACATCTGTCTCGGTAACTCCAAACCATCATTTACTTGCATTTCTCCGGTGATCTGCCTACTTAATCATAAGCTAACGCAGAAACAGTAAGCTGTAGCATCCTAACATCAGCCAGAGCTTCTTTAAAACGGTCGGTCAGATGATAGTTGATGAGTTCGGGAGACATTTCTGATTTGGTGCAACCTCGTGAATTTTTAAATCCTTAATAAAAAGTCTAACTGGGATGAAATGTAAATGAACTGAGAGCGTGTCAAGGTTAAATCTGAATCTATTATCTTCTAACGATGAGCTCACAGCAGGAGCTAAAGGATGAGGAGAGACATTCACACACTGATTACTGTCAAGTTACCTGATCACACACACAAAGAATTAGTCAGAAAGCATCAGGATCTACCTCTTTCAGGCTCAAATCTGGATCAACACCCCGTGTTTCCAAAAAATAAGACATCTGTTTGAGGTCCTCTGCCTTCCTGTCTCTGGGTTCCTGATAATTAAACTGATAACTAAAGAAACTAACAAACACAGACGCACAACAGCATCTACTGACCTTGATCCTATTCTTAGTTGCACCAAGGAGGGAAGACCACTTCCTGTCTGAACTGCAATCAGAAATAATTTCACAACAAAACAGGCCTACTTAACCGATTCCCTGGAGCACGTGTCAGCTTTTTTTAAGCAGCAAGGGCGATCAAGGGAATCCACTCCAAAGGCCTCGGAGAGCTCAAAAAGTTTAAATATAGAAAAAAAGAAATCCACTTGACAAATTAACACAGAGCTCCTATTTATGCTTCTTTAAAGCATTTCACAGTGAAGGGCTGTTGACAGCCTGAACGTGTGCTGCCGTGAATACAGAAGAAGGCTAAACTTGTAACTTATAGCTTTATAAACCACGAGCAGATCAGTTCTGGTGCAAAAAACAGGAAAACTTAATAGAAATGACTTGATTTTTTTTGTTTTACACAGTCAAAACTTGCTTTAGCCACCAGAACCTTTAATTAGGACCAGCTTATCTCCTGTTTTCTTTGGTAGTTTCAGCCCATCTCTGAGGAGAATATCCAGATTTAGCAGCTAAATTCTTCATAGCCTTCAACCTTCGTTACTAACCTAATTATAAAAACATTAGCAGAAAAAACAGCTGCACACCAGAGAGAGAGCAGGAACTGAACCAGGGAAGGACTTGAAACTTTTTAGGGGAATTAAATTTTTCTATTTTCATCCTGACCTCCATTTCATTCTTTATTACTATTTTACCATATATTTTATATTAATCTTAACTTGTGTCTCACCTTGTTGGTGCTCTCTGCTGCGGTGAGCGACATCTGCAGCTTGTAGGACTTCTCACGGTTTTCCCGAGCTTCATTCGTGACCCGGGCCAGTTCGGCCCTCAGCTTTCCGAGGGTTTTCTGGAGCGCCGCCTCCTGAGTCTGGAACTCTCGCCTCAGTTCAGCCTCGGTGCGCTTCCATGCCAGCAAGTTGTCGGCCGTCAGCTGCTGGGTTCTCTTCATGGCCTCCAGCTCACGCTCGTAAAAGGCCTGAGCCTGCAGAGAAACCAACCCGAAAACAACGTGAAACATTTTGGGGTGTGAGACACTTGTGTGAAAATGCAAAGTTGCACAAGAGTAATCAATACCAATAAAACTTTAGATTGAATTACCTGGCTGAACGCACTCAGCAGGTGTACAAATCTAAATTTGTTACTCCTAAACTGCTGCTTTTTCTCTTCACTAACCTGCAAACCACAGCTTTTTATTTCAGTAACAACATTTTAAACACTCAGACTTTGTTTAGTGCTGCCCCGTTTACGTTGCTGGAGTCAGCGTTACAGATCTTCTATTGAGATTTGGTGTCCTGGTAGCTGGTTCTTGTGATGTTACGTGAGATAGCAAATATTATTGTAAAATTTAAAATGTCATCATTTCCCAAAATAAGATGATCTTAGTTTAAAACCACCATTAAAAATGGCGTTTTATACAAATTCCTGTAAAGAATAAAAGGCCTTAATTTTGATTTCATCCTTCGAAAATATTTAATTATGTTGCGACTCTGCTTAATTAGTAAAAAAAAACACATCTCTTAAAATAAGTCTAACTAAACAATCAAGAGAAAGCAGACTGATGCACAAACACATGATTACACAACAAGAAAACTGACCAAAAATAACAGATTTGATCTGACTTTCAGATTGTACTTTGAACTTGATTTAGAAGAGCATAAATAGATTAGATACAAGCACATTTATCAGATTCATCACAGAAAGAATAAATGAGTTACATGAATGCATAAACCATAAATCCCTCAGAAGTTGCCAGGGAGCTAACCAATTACCAAGGTTAAGTGAAAGCGTGCGAGCAGCTGCTTAGGAGGTACCTTGCTGAGTTTGGCCTCATATTCCTCCACCAGCCTCTTCTTGTCTTGTTTTAGCTCCTCCACCCGCTCCGTCAGGGAATCCACCTGCAGCAGAAAAATCATTTAACAAGCCGACGTCACTAATCCCCGTTTTCCTTAAACTTCCATCTGCTTTAGCGGGTTACTTTAGCTTCCAGGAGCGGTTTATTTTTTTATACCTCAGCTTTGTGGAGCTGTCCCAGTTTCTCCTGGTCTTTGCTGTAATTTGCGTTCTGACTCTGGTGGCTGCGAAGAAGTTCCTGGATCTCCTGTCTGTGCTGAGCCTTGAGGTCCTCCAAAGCAGCCTTCTTCTCCTGCTCAAACTGAGCCTGGGCCTGGCTAAACGTACGCAGCTTCTCCTCAAAAGACCGTCTCATCTCCTCCACCTCCCTTGACATGGACACCACGCGCTGTGTGTGCTGCCAAAAAAATAGACCGAAAAATATCAGGAGTGAAAGTGAGCCAGAGGAGGGATTGATTTTGGGTTTCTGAGCTGCAGACACAGCTAGTTACTCTTTGAAAAGGTCTGAAGCAGGTGGAGAACCGGCCCGCGGGATTCTGCTCGTCTGACTGCCAACCTGCCGGCTCTAATTTAGCACTAAACAACCACCAGACAAAAACTATCTGAGAAATAAACTCTGAGGTTTATTGTGTCATTAGGAGAAGAAAAATATCAAACAGTGTCCCAGTCATCTATGGACAAAACTCAATTATGAGCCAAACATCTTTGGATTTACATCCATTCTCAGGCGTCAGACTTCATTTGGCTTTGCAATCTGGAAGAACCATTAGCATTTGTTTTCATTAAAAAGTGGATAATTATACGATCAACAGCTTGCATTAATGGCATGGAGCTGCAGTTAAAGCTGACTGACAGCTGCTTCTGCTCAAAATAAAGATAAGATCAGAACAGCTCCAGTTACTGGAAAACCTCCTGCTTTCATGCCTCGGTGGTTAAAGAAACGTGAATGTCTTCTACTAGCGATAATTGTGTTTGTGAAAATGTTTATTTTGTTCAAAGTTTTAAAGGCCAGCTGAATGAAAGGCTTTGTCACAACATCAGGACACATTATTTGAATTTATTTAATTAAAAAGGAAAAATACTTGATTCTTACAGCAAAAAAAAAAAAAAAAAAAAAAGCAAAAATCTAAGTGAGTAAAGTGGGACTTAAAGAAGTCCAATTGTCTTTCAGTGTAGAATTGCCATGATGCAGGTGATGGATAATCTTCACCAGCAACTTTTCCAAAAAATGCCATCATCTTAGTTTATCCGAATTCTCCATTCAAAGCCAATATGATAATAAAATAAATGGAACCTTTTTCATTCACAATATTAATAAAATGCACAAAAAGAGTCTCAACTCAACACTTTGGCCTTGTGGATCTCTGCTGAAGACTAAACTACACAACAAATCTGTTTCCAGCCTCCCAGCAGGATGAGGAGCAGACATGATGAAGATGACCTGCAGCTGGGTCATTCCCCCACAGACCTGATTCATCTGTACCTGCGCCTCGGTGCAGAGCTGCATGTCCTCCACCCTCTGGCGGTAGCTCTCAAACTCTGCCAGCGCCTGCCTCTTCATCCTCTCATGGACCTCCATGGACTCTTCCAGAGACTGGATCCGCTTCTTCAGGTCCAACTCATCACTTATTTTGCCCTTGTACTGAGGCAAAAATCACAGATTTGGTTAAAAGATGAGCTTTTAGTTGGTTAAAAAAATGATGAGATCATTTTGTAAATGATCAGAGCTCCTCCATAAGTCAGCCTCTGCCAGTTTCTAATGACTTTAGCTGAAGATGACATAAAGCTAATGGGAGGGTTTTTTGCTTGTTTTGCTTGCTTTTAGCACCTCCTAGTGTCCGTTTCAAACCAAAAGTGAAACCTCACTGTGCTTTTGTCTTTTTAACACCTTAATCTAACAGCCGTCATGTCTACAGGAGTGATTCATCACTGAATCAAACAAATCAGCTGTGCTCATGATCTAAAACATGGGGGAAACGTGCTGAAAGCAGACTGCAGCACCAGCTATGTCAGCTCCATTTTATTAGTTCACAGGTGGCGACTCAGCACTCTGAAGTTGCAAGTGCAATATTCTGGCCACAGAGGGCGGTGGGGTCTGAGTAACGTTTCATCAGCCTTGCAGTGGCAGCTCCAGAAATGTTTTTCTGCAGATGCTATGAAGGAGCTAGTCTTTTTATTGAGGGTGCTATGAAGGAAGTGGTCATGCGTACCTATTGTTCTCTAAAACACCTTCAACACTAGCAGATACACATGCGTGCACAGAACCTCAACAACACCTGAAACAATCATTAATATACATCATAAACATATGAACAATTGCTGACTTTTCCATGAAATCATAAACACATAATGCCACACAGAAAACCATCTATAGTGTTGCAAGGTTAGCTAACGTTAGTGTTAGCATTTCTAGTGGCAAAACCCTCGACTGCTGCGGCGGTTGAGGGTTGACTCTCTTCATCCAGATCCGTAGGTTTTTGTGGGTCTGAGATCACTTCCAAACATTCATTCGTTTCTGACTGAACCTGTGGAAATTTGGGCAACAAAAACCGACCCATTTTACCACTAGGTCTACCTTTCACTCGTTCGCAGGTGGAAAATGAGGTCAAAGGTTAACAACAATTTCCTGTTTTGGTTTAAGTTTTTACTATCTATATGATAATTTACTGATTATTTTTGTTTTGTATGTTAAATTTTATCACATCCACACCTTAAATTAAAATTAAATTGTAAAAAAAAAAATTAATATTTACTTGGGGGTGCTAAGGGCGTGCAATGACTAATCCAGAGGTAGCTATAGCGCACCCCGGCGCCACCACTGCAACCTTGTAAAGGGTCATTTTAGCACATACTGGCTCAAGGAATTATTTCAAAATATTAAAAAGTTGCATAACATCCATTTAAAGAAAAAGTCTTGCTAGCTGCAAAATAAATAAATAAATAAATTAAATAAACAAAAACAAAAAACTAATGTTACTTTTAGAATCCATCTTTTTACTGAGTGGAGCTTAAATACGTACGGAGCAGCTCCCTGCCTTCTTATATAGTGGAAAAATTAAGCCAGAATATGCTGTTTACAGGCAAACATGGAACCAACCACTAGGACTAGTTACTTTGTCATTCCTGGGTCTAGTGATCGTGATCAATGTCAACTAATTTTATGAAAATGTTCTTGCATCAGCAGCATGCAGATGCTCTAAATCTTTCCAGAATATTTCAGTTTCATGTCTTGATCCTACTATAGGTAGAAGCAAATTCACAATTAGGTGACCTGGTTTGTGTAAGTGGTCAACAGGACCAACGTGAAAAAATTACAGAGCTTTTCAAAAAATTTAAATCATATATAGTTTGATAATGTTACTAAGGGATTGTGTTGATTTTATACAAAAATTCAGAAAATGGGTGAAACTGTTTTACTTCTTAGAAAAAGTCTCAACAACATTGAACCTTGTCCCTGAGAGACGGAGGCTTTCAGGTGATGCTGATAAAAAAAAACATCTCAATGATCATACTTAATATTGTTCGCGGGTTCTGGAAATTTCTAATATCTTTATTTAGAAAAAGGTTTTCAATCAGTGACGGATGATTTGTCAAAATCATCAGGAGGTATCAAATAATACATTTCTTACATAAATCTCAGCATGAGCTCAGGAACATGCCATGCTTTCAGAGATAATTAAAAAAAAACTCGACCAAGTAAAGAAAACAGCATCGAAACATTCTGCCACCTTTTCTGCGCCAAAGCTCATTTAAGATAACCACAGAAAACATTTTTAAAAAATGAAAATGTTCCTTCTGCCTGAAGTGAAGCAGGCAGATTTACCTGCAGGATCTTCTCTCTGGTCTCAGAAAGGATCTGCTGCACCTCCTCCTCATGCGCCTCCTTCAGCGTGGCGATGGCGGCCTCGTGTTCGTCGTTTTTTGTGTTCAGCGCATAGATAACCTGCAACATGGAGGAAAAAGAAGTTCACATGATTATATTAATGATGGCAGGAGGAGTTGGATAAACACACAGGAACTGCTGCAGTGGATCAACGCTGATGAATAACGAACAAGAGCGCAGATCATCACAGAAATGAGAAACGTGTGAAAATGTGACAGCAGAACATTCAAAACCACAGACTGAAGTTCCTCTAAACTTGCATTTACAGAACTCCTAATGTTTCACTTTTACGGACAGCAGGTGAAATACAATATATGGAAGGCCAAAAGTGCTAGAATAAATAAATAAAGCCTTTAATAAATGTTTAACTGTATAATTTAACATGTTATATAATAATTCATCAAATATGTCATGACATTAATTTTTATGCATGAGACATTTAATGATTTATTGCATTACTTGATTCTTTTTCCAACACAGCAACTTTTGCTGCTAGAAAAACACACACAGAATGAACGTACAAAAGATGTCTAATGATGTATAACTTGAACTTAACTTAAACTTGAAGAATAACTGGCAATTGCTTGCTCATTTTAAGAGGTCTGTCATATTTTATAACATGCTATTTGATATAATAGGCTGCATGGTGGCGCAGTTGTTAGCACTGTTGCCTCGCAGCACGAAGGTTGCAGGTTCGAAACTCGGCTGCGGCCTTTCTGCGTGGAGTTGCGTGTTCTCCCCGTGCATGCGTGGGTTTCCTCCAGGCACTCCGGTTTCCCCTACAGATCACAACATGCCCTATAGGTTATAAATTGTAAGTCGCTTTGGATAAAAGTGTCTGCCAAATAAATAAACATAAACATATATATTTAATGAATAATTTAGGTTGTTTATTACATATTTCAATTAATGATATGTTTAAAACATGTATTAAATGCTTTACGTTTTATTTATTGTGGTTATTGCTATGTTAGATGCAATAAATAAATAAACACTTCAATGTTTACTTCAAATATTTTTAAATGCTGCTTTTTCTTTTAATCTGTGAAAAGTTCCAGATGAAACACTATTTTGAATATTTTGAGAAAAAAATCTTTAAATGAAATTTTGTCAACTTGATCAAAATTCCAGAGCCACACAAGCAAAGCCTTGCAACTCACACACCGAAAAAGCATTTTTGGCGACTCCCTCCTAAGGGCTGCTCCCAGTTTGCCGCCAGCCCAGTGAGCTCTTACACTAGGAGCTAAAAATGATCTGCATCACCCTTCAAAACAACACTGACAACCTATTTGATGTTTCAATGGGCTGCAAACTAAATAAAATTATGATATTAAGTGATTGATAATTGATTTGTGCAATTAACATTAATGCTCTTCCAGCGCAGATCAACAGGGAGATCAGCTGCAAACGAAGGGAATCATCCTACCACAGAGAAAGACTTATACCACCGCCCTGCAAGTGAGCATAAATTCCATGTAAATGAGCTGCGGTGCTTTCTATCGCTGCTTAACAGCTGAGGACTGTATATGCAGCAGAAAACCTTCTGGTCTACGCCTTGATGACTCTGTATTAGCTCAGTGATGCCCCTGCGGTCATAAATTAGATATGGGCTGATCGCTGGGGTTAAAACTAACACAAGAAAACAGTTGTGCATGAGATCGACCTTTAAATCCATCCCAAAAATACACGCAGCCAACCAGAGAGCCATAATCTGACAGTGCCGTAATCCCCAGCTCGCAGGCAGAGCGAGGGGACGGAAACGGGTTTTTGGATTTCCACATGAGAAGTCAGGAGACGCCGTCTCTCAGGTTCCCGACCCGATGTGAGAAATAAAGATGCGAGTTGCCATGTTGAAAACTGAGTCATCATTTGGGTCATTTTGGTTAGACAAGCAGAACAAAATATTTCATCATTACGGTTATGTTATTATATAACACATAATACAAATATAGATTATTATTATTTAATTGTTTCATGCTATAAAGGGGTTTAAAGTGCAAATCACTGCTTTCTGGAAACTATAAAACTTTTAAACAGTTTCTAGTCTAACATGAAGACACATTTAGCCACAGTTTGGTTTATTCATAAGCTCTGATGTTTGCAGAAACACATTCTTACTCCAAACATCAACTTACAGGTAACAGGCCAACTCTTAGCATCTAGTTAAAACTACAATGCAAAAATACATCTATTATTTAATGACACTCACTCGGAAGTCTAAAGTCACCAGTTTTTTATTTTTCTACTTTACATAAAAATATTTCAGTAGAAGCTCTACACAGGGAACGTTGTTTATATTTTATCTTCTAAAATACATTTTAAAAATAAATCTCAAAGTCCAGAAACAAATTAAAAACACTTCTTTCTGCTAGTAGGCCACCGTAGCTCCTAACAATGATTAGGGATGCAACGATACCCCTTTTCCCAAACCGATACGATACCAATACTTGGAACTGAGTACTCGCCGATACCGATTACAGATACCGATACTTCTAACACAAAAAAAAAATGCAATGATTTGGAATACAGATTTGATTTTCTTCTCTGCTTTCAACAGGAAAAGACTGAGGTAGATAAAAAGTAAAATATATGAATAAAAATCATCACAAACTAAAATATTAGGTGAACAGAAATGACAAGTTACAGTGAAGCCATTTTCAAGCAACTGCACTGGTATCGGTTCCTAGTATCGATTAACTTTTATCGATACCGATACTGGAATCAGTTTCAGTATCGGCACAGATACCGATACTGGTATCGGTATCGGTGCATCCCTAACAATGATTGTTGAAATCCTATCTGCTTAGCTGCATCTCAACCTGAGCATCTGTAGCTCGACACTCCCTGAGCAGCACCACAGAGGGAGGAACATGAAGTTGCCATGCGAGCAGACACGTTAAGAAAAATGAAGAAACGCCCATATTTCATCAAAATTATTGGACAATTTTTCTATAGAATTGCAGGTTTTATTCTATTCAGCACCAGTATGAATGAAAACGCTGTGCATGAGGTGTTATGTGGGAAAACTGGGATTCTCACATGCCTCAGGAAATTAAAGCAGTGTGTTTAAATCTGAGAACGTCCAACCAAGCCACACCTACAACAAAGAGCCCGACCCACAAGGGGTAAACTTAGCTTTAATTTATATTTTGTTGACAATTTAATGGATCTGGTGATCATCCAACCAATGCAGCAGCTCCAAAAACACTTTTCGCATGAAGCTTTGAGCTAAAAGGAACATAGGTTTGCTTCTTTTAATTGTCTAGAAGTTGGAAGAATTCTGACTTTTCTCTGCCTTTTGGAGTGGCAGCGAATAAAAAGCTAAACAAAAAAGGCACCCTTCCTAAGACTCTTCTTCCGACCTAAATTGACTAAATATTAACACATTTAACATGTTGACATTAAAGTTTTGCAGCACTGCGTTTCCACTGTTGCTAAAAATGCACATGCTGATAAAAGCAGCTTCAGCTAAAAGGTTAGAGCCTAGCCTGCTCCTGTCAAGTCAAGCTAAGAGTATTCGTGAGAGCTAAAATTACACATTTACCCATAAAAAGCTTAGTCTGTGCTTATTTCTGGAGCTATCACACCCAGTCTCCCTCAGTGCTTTATGTTTATAAATGAGCAATGGCATGCCAAGATCAGAAACAAACAGCAATATAAAGCTGAAAAAAAAAAATTTCTCTGCGAGTCTAAATTATTCAGCCAGTTCGGCTTCATCAGCTTAAGAAGCAAGCGTAGGAAGCAGACGCAACTCTTAGAAGAGCTAAAATCTCCCATCATGTCCCAAGAGTCATCAGAAGACACTTCTGCAGATGAAATGCACCAGTCAGAACGTTTTAGGGTCTGCTGGTACACACACACACACACACACACACACACACATTTGTTTTTCTATCCATATTAGAACTTTGTATTGGCTTCCATTCATTTTAGCAACTGCATTCATGCCTAACTCAAACCCTTACCCTACACTTAGGAGGAGGAATTGGGGGAGCCAGGTTAGGCCTAGTCCGGCCCAGTTGTGGTTTTCCGTGATACCACGGCGCCACCTCTGTTATCTGGTCTCTACCAATTCTCTCCCCTCTTTTCTTTTTGCTTCTTTTCTTCTATTCTTTTTCTTGTTTTTCTTTATTATGTTCTTTCTTCTTTCTCTACTCTACTCTGTTATTCTTCATCAATACGACCCAACAACTGGAGGGGAGTTCTTGAGTGACATGCGGCGGCCCGTGCATTGCCAGTGAATCCCTAATCCAAACTGTTTTGGTCAAAGCACTGATTCAGGGGGATTTCACTGAGTTACATCTACTCAATCTACTCAACCTAACCATAACCAGTGTATTCCTAAACCTAACTGGAAGAAAAACTCTATTCACATCTTACCTCTAAACCTCACCCCCTAAGCCTAAAACAGCTCCACTGTATTAGGCCTGGGTTTGGGTCCTGATAAGACCACCGGTCTACAGAAGATTAGTGAATATGCCAGTTTTGGTCCTTTAGGCACACACACACACACACACACACACACACACACACACACACACACACACACACACACACACACACACACACACACACACACACACACACACACACACACACACACACACACACACAGCCTGCCAAAATCCTCATGAACCAGTGAACCAGAGTCCAAACTCAGTGTAATTTGTCAGACAAATGGTCAGAGGCGAAAGGCGGACACCATTGTGTGTGTGTGTGTGTGTGTGTGTGTGTGTGTGTGTGTGTGTGTGTGTGTGTGTGTGTGTGTGTATCGCAGTCCTAAACAATGGCTGCGTTTTGCCATCACTGCCACCAACAAACACAGACACCATAATGTGTCAACAACTACTGTTTGGAACATTTTGACACTTTCTGGAATATTCCGACAGTTTTTAGTTCCACATAGAATATTTTCAAGGACACATTTAGCCTGTCGGGACTCTCTGAGTACTACACAATTTATGAGACTTTCATAGCCAGAACTGATCCTCTCGGGCAGCTTGTTTGCAGACTGCACTCTTGTTAAAGCGGTACACAGAGTTACAGTTTGTCCCGATTGA